GCCTCCAGTGTCTGTTCAAGTTTTGACACCTATAAGCACGCAAAGTTCCGCATTTCATCATTAATTGATATCTTCACCTAAGTGGCAATGGGTTTGTTAGCGTAACTTTTCTAACATTATATTACATTTACCTTATCTTTGAGCTCTGAGAATTGCTTATATGTAACAGACGGTCCACTCACAAGCCCTGGACTACGAGCAGTCGGACTTGCTATAAGGTCTGGATCTGACATAGAGGAAGGACTCGTAGAATCCGCAGTCTGTTTTGCCATCAAAGTGGCCAGCACTGGGCTAGTAGATGAACTTGTGCTATTTGCTGGTCTGACTGATGGACTGACAGTTTCTTGCTTTGTCGGCAGTGTAAGCAACGTGGGGTTAGTTGGTGAACCTGGGAGGGGTTTGGAATGAGCCTGGTTCACTTCTGCCAAAATGTGGGCAGGATCAGGTGGACTTGCAGCAGACAATGGCCTTCTCTGAGGAGTAACTCTTGATGAAGAGTCATGGAACATTGACTGAGGTCTGGAAGGCTGGATCCTCATCATTGCACTTGCTGGTGTTTGTTTGGGTTCAGGACCTGGAAGCAAATACAGTCACAAGCACCAGGTTATAAACAATTATAGTTTCGCACCCTGAGCAGAGAACTGTATAATGCACGACACACTAGTTTGTGCTGTAATAAAACTCCTAATTGGAGAGATAATTTAAAATTAAATACAAAGTTGTATTATCATAAACAGAACAATTTTAATAAAATCAAGCCACAGGAAATGAGCTCCTCAAACTTAAACAAAACAGAACATAAAATGGAAATAGGAATGTAAGTCATGAAAGTATGTAAAATAATACAAAAATTTAAGAAGGGGACAGTACTGTATACATGTTGCTGAACGGTGTATATATTTCAATTACAGAACCCTATCCCACAGTAACCAGGGGTCTGAGAAAGGAACCACCTGTATAGAAGAATCAACTCTAAACGAAGTTTAAACTGTAATAATTGGATAAAGTAATTACAGATTGCTCTATAATTAGTAGGGTGTTAATCCAACCACTGTATCCAGCAACCATCCACTCCCACTCGGTGCTGAAACTGCATACAATGATAGAAGACAGAACTACACTGTTATAATACAACCAGACTTCAGGGCATCGGTTGTGGGAGAGGCACAAGCATTGTGTATTTATTGAAAGATAGCGCCATTTCAAGATTATAAACATTACTATCCTCCAATTCCAAGGCTTCATTCTCCTTCGTTTGCTGTAAAATACCAAGAAAAGCTGCAGGTTTTATAAGTTATCTGGTGTGAGCTTATCTTAAACAAATAATCAAACATACCTTGTTATCAAATGAAACACCAAAACAAGTCTATAAATTCATGCAGATACGTTAAAATTAGTCACAACTCAGCATCATCAACATTAACAGATTAGGTTTAAACCTGTACCAACTGAAATTCTGTTCTAACCATTTCTTCCTCATTCTTTCAATTCATTTCCTCTGGGATAACATTCACATGCCTGAATTTTAAAATTGCGTTGCTCCATTTGTCCCACATGTAACAGCCACTGACTTCATATACTGTTGAACATTATCATGTAATTTAAAATCTCCAATATTTATTGCATGCTTTTTCTGTGGTCAATTTATAATTTATGTATCACAACTATACAAATTCAACATATAATACACAACACAAAACAGCAACCTGTGCCACCATCAGTGTTTCCGTAGACTAGTTCGAAAAGTCATCTCAGCTAATTATGCAAAGCCTTATCTAACTGCATAAATTTCATCCTCTTAACCGTATACAATATTTGTTCAACAAAAATTATGCCGTAATGTTACAAATATTCAAATTTCAAATTTATCCCTTTTACATGAAACTTACGTCGACCTCAGTGGACTAGTGGTTAGCGTGCTCACCACGGGTTCAATCCCGGCTGGGGTCGACGGATTTCTAAGGGTGATAAAAATCCATAGCACAAATTCCTTCGGAGGGGAAGTAAAGCCGGTGGTCCCATGTCGTAGATTTACGGCATGTAGAAGAACCTTGCGAGCATGATACGAGATGTTTCGTAAGCAAAATTCAGCGGCCATTTCTCACCCAAGTCTCTCTTAATTCACTGCTTCACTGTAGATGGCTCTGGCAGTCAAATCAGGAGTGAGTAGAAATTGTTCAGAGTCAGTGGGCTAGTCACTCACTACTCTTAAATGCACGCTTTAAAGACTATGAAACCTCCAAAAGGAGGCCCTATGCTCCACTTAGGAGTTACAGGAACTAAACTAACTAACTAAAATGAAACTTACTGTTGTCTGGTTTTGATTTAAGCAGTTTTCTTTCTGCATGTTCTGGAGGGCTCTGTCCAAGTGCTGATGCAGTAGGACTTAATCCTGATGTCTTTTTGGCCTGATTTAATTTGAGTTCTTCAACCCATGGAGCCTTCCCTCTTTCCCACGCACGTCCTCTGCTTCTTTCGACTCCTTCTTCATCCTCTTCCTCCTCCACGACATGGTTGTCCAGAGAAGTATGACCTGCTTCTGCACTTCCATTCATTAAGCCACTGCTTTGAGAATCCTACATGAAAATATACAATGTTATAACAAACAAGAACTGACAAAAATAATGGAAATAAATTTTTGCAGATGTAATCACTATAGATAACCATTTCTCTTCTTCCTTTTCCAGTTTAACAATGTTTGTACATTTTCCAGTACCCTTTACAGGTCCCCAACTTTTCTTGGCTTGATCTATGGACATTCGGTAGGACTCCTTGGACGAGGGATCGGCCCGTCGCAAGACCTCTACCTGCACACAGGACAACACAACACAGAAAAACATCCATGGCTTGAGTGGGATTCGAACCCACGGTCCCCACGACCAAACAGCACAAGACCCACGCCTCAGGCAGTGTGGCCACTGCAGACCCCAGATAACCATTTCTGAAATGGATAAATACCAATTATGTCAATCCTCAAGTTTTCTAATTTAATAAATACCAATGATGGGGAGACCAGAAACGCATATGTAACTTCATAAATTGACTACTTGGAAGAGCAAGAAGGAGACTGGCAGTTGAACCTTCAGTTTCTACTTCCACAGGACAAAAACATATTACAACAAACTGAAATGATATTCATGACAACAAAAGTAGATATTTCTTCAGTTAGCAGTGTACATGTGCATACTTAATGAAACACAGAAACTTTACTGAGGATAAACAGAACACCAACAATATTTAAGAGATTATGTATTGCTCAAATATAAGTTAAATAATTTAGCACTGAGTTATACCTCTTCACTTCCTTGAAATTACAAAGTCATATTATCATGCTAAGTGCCCAGTATCAGGATGAATTTCTCAGCACTTACTGCTTCTTTATTGAATACTGTGGAAGGAAGTCGGCGATGCGGTGCTTTGACTCTCGTCGCTGTTGGATGCGTTAACATGGCACTTCTTTCTACACTATCAAATTCTAATATCCCTCGTGGAGATGTTTTCTGCACCATTCTGCTGGGTCCATCAAGACAAGCTTGGGACTGCTGTTGATAAGAACGTCCCGTTTTCATCCAAACTTTGATACACATCAGACTCCACTTTGCTCGCTCTGATTACGGCTCAGCTACGGCACCCACGAGCACAACTGGAACTCCATAGCAGAATCTTTCTAGAGAAGTTAATAGTAACGCTTATGTTCAAAAACATACATATTATAAGGTATGACATAAAACCTCAGGAACACTACAGGATTACAAACAATGTGCTCATTCACTGTGCCATCTACACACATGATATATTCCTCCAAATGTTGGTATGTCCTTTATTTAAAATTCAGAACTCAATTTTCAATAGATACAATGTTATAAATGGTAGTTAGATTCAAGCCAGCCCACAATAGCCTATTTAACGTATTGTGATGTGTTGGGGGTTGGCATTGTTGAACTGTTTAATGACATTGTTGTATTCATGCATTGTTGTATTATTATTTACATTGTTGTGTTTAGCATTGTTGTGTTTACATTGTTGCGTCTGTTTATTGGCATTGTTGTATTTGTATAAAAGCCGATTGACAATCACCTAGGTAGGGACGATGCTTGCGCTTGCGCAGGCCTCCGCCCTCAGTTAGCTTTTTGGTTGGAGTGATTGGCTTTAAACGGTGCAGAAATGAGGCCTGATGATACAATTCGCTGTGGTTTCTTTACTGGTGGAGGAGGTAATGAAAGTTTCTTGCCAGCAAGGGAAGGAACTGCAGACAA